ATTTAGATTTATTTTCTTTTGATGGTTACAAGGTTGGTCAAATTGACCAGCCTCGTAGAGAGTTAGGGTAAAGAAAATAACAGATAAAATATAAAGTTTTACTGAAAACAAACATCTGAAATGTATTTAGGAGGTTTTAGAGATTCCTCAAATCAAATCCGAGATTTTTGACATGATGAAAAGTATTTTTAATCTTAACATAAAAGTCACTTTGCACACGAACTATTCAAAACAAATACTCAATACATTCAAGGACAAATCTTTTTTTAGTTTATTAAAAATACTTCTCTAAAAAATACAATTTTTTTGTATGTGAAAGACTTTATAATGTTTACAGAAAGACTGCCAAATTTTGTGAAGATAGACACACTATATTAAATGCTAGTAGCATCAAATCTATAAACTTTGAACAAGTACAGAGACATCACATGGTCATTTAAATTGACTGAGCCCGTGTTGACAGAGTTAAGCAAAAATTATAAAAAAGCACAGCTGAAACTAAGCCTTTTATTCCATAAAATGTTTTGAAAACTTTTTAAACTATCAATAAAATATATTATATTAAAGCAAAACTTCATATACATTAACAAACAAATAAACTTCTTAAATCAATTAATAGTTACCATATTTATAATGTTTTCTGTTTCTTTTTCAAGAAAACAAACCATGCAATAAGAAAACTCAAAATGCAGACTTTTTGCTCAAGATGTCATTGCACATTTATCTTTGACTATTTATTCTTTAGCATGCTTATGAAATATATACTTATTTATTTACTAACAGAGAACCAATGATGGACAGACCTTACATTAAACATCCAACAGAGCTTGCTATCCATGCTCTGGTATAGAAACCAAATAGAATTCAATTTTTGTTGCCCAATTTTTCTACCATACCATTCACATTTTACTAATTATCTTAGCCTAAGATAATACAAACACCAAAGTTTGACTACAACCCATTAATCTAAAAACTTAAAGAACTATTAAACTTATTTATACTTGAGTTTAAAGGTCATAACTACTGCCTTACTATTGCTATCAAGGTATTGTGTATAAAACATTAAAATCTTATTATCAAGCTATCATTACAAAATGTTGGCAAAATATTCAACATATAGATAACATACTGTACACAGGTGGTATCAGTATCCAAAGCTAACGTAAGAATCATTGTTTAACTCTTTCACTATGGGCCCTGGTCAAATCAATCGAGATCATGACCCAAATTTTATCTTTAATAGTTTACATACTATAACTTCTAATATGTTTTGTGGATCTTCACAAAATTTTGCAAGATTTCAGTAAACATTTGTAGACAAAAAAAGCAGAATTTTTAAAGAAATATTTTTACTAAAAATTTCCCCAAGAATATGGGGAGCCAAAGTGTTGACTGCTTTGAGTGCAAAGTGATTTTCTAGTTAAGATTAAAAATACCTTTCTTCATCTGAAAAACCTCAAATTTCATTTGCATAATCTTTAAAACCTTCTAAATAAATTTCAAATGTCTCTTTTTTATCAGCAAAACTTTATATTTTATCTACCCTAACTCTATACGAGTTGGTCAATTTGACCAGCCTCGTAAACACACACACAAACAAAAAATTTAAATCATAATAAATCTAAATTACCGTTTTTTTCTTTCAAGAATGACTTCAAAATATGAAACTACATTTGTTTATTCTGAATAGCTTCAAACTTATAACAGTACATATTTGTTTATACTTAAATTTTATTGTCTTTTTGCCCTTTGAACTGTGTCTTAACTAATATTTGTGCCATATAAGTTGTAAATCACTTGGCGAACATGTAATCCACGTTACCCTATGGAATTAAATAATGCATGGGCTACTCCTGAGTGTACCTCTTGAAAAACTTTTATTGTTATTATTCTTTATTTTACCTAATCTATTCTAAAAGGTTTCTAATTTTTACATTTTAGGTACTTTTTTTATAATCAATAAAATAATACTCATGAAAAACAAGAAATAACACACCTACTTGGATCTTTTTTTGCTGTAGACTGTTAATGATACTTAACCCTACTTTTTTCTTATACTAATGGTACTACTGCACTAAATAATTATTTATTTTATTATATAGTCCACCAATAAACACAGAATAGTAACATGCAAAAAAAAACAAACAATGTACCATAACTATCACAATTTTTCTGACTGTGCAACAAGAGCCATTAAATAATCGGCTAATGTTGATGTGTTTCCTGTGGGAATGAGATTTGAACTGGAAAGGTAATAGACAATTCTCTGTACAGAAAATGTAATACAATATATCATTTGATAGATTAAAATCTTGGCTTTTTATTGGTTATAAAGAATATAGTATTAAATGTCAGAGAGAACTATTGGCCATTTCTGAAAGAGTCGATGTGACAAGCGGGCATGACAAGATGGGGTCTGATTTTATGACTCTGTAACGAAATAAGGTTGAAATCTAGAATAATTATACTTTGCCATGACAACATTACAATGAGTAATTTGGGTTAAATTTCATACTTTTTAGAGGGGTGGTAAATAAATTAGAGAAGAGGGAATACCTAAAAAGTAAATGTCCCAATTTTCACACTAGGGGAAATTTAGAATTTTTTTTAAATATTGCCTTATAAAATTAA